AAAGACTGTGAGGAAGAGATTTCCCCAAGGTTAGAGGCCTGTTGTAGCAAATACAGCACCAATCCCTAACCCTCAAATGTGAGCTTCTGGACTGAATTCCTTGGCTATTGTATACACACCATCAAGTAACAAGTGTTGAAATCACTTTCTATTTGATTTGACTATTTACCCCACACAGATATATTCTTAATTTAGAAGATGCTTTCCCACAAATATATACACACACAGACTTACACATGCACAAACACAAACACCTGCGGCCATCCACAGGCCCCCCCGCTGACACGCTGCACAAACTCCCACGCAGATCCAGAGCTCCCCTTCCCGCCACTGGGACAGCCGCCCTCCCTGCGCCAAGCCTGCTCTTGGTTCCTTCATCTCAGCGGAGCTTAAGATTGGGGATGAAGCAAGGTCCCTTCCTGCGGACCCTCGCCTGTGCCACGCAGGGAGAAGAGGTGGCTCCCTCACTTATAATATTGGCCAGGGGTCAGAGTGGCTCTGGGGTGCGACGTTGAGGGATTCAAGGGGATGGAGGCCAAGCCCCATCCTCAAAGACTGCCCATCGTGGAAGAGGCCCGCACACGGGCGGAACCAAGCCAGCCGGGGAGCCACGCCCCCGAGTCCTGGGGTAGTCCGGGAAGGCTGCCCGGAGGCGGTCACCTCAGCGCTGAGGTTTGAAAGCGTGGGGGAAAGACTGGGAGCCTGGGAGCCTCACAGCCGCGGCTGGGCCGAGGTGTTTGGGTGGAAGCACTGAGCCAGGGCTCCTAGCACGGATCTGTTAAGTGGATGGCGTTTTTGATTTTGCGGAAAAAGAAATCCCGCGGAATTCAAAGACCTCCCGGGCGCCAGACTTCACTCTCCGGTCGAGAGTAGAGCGGCTCGCACCCCGCTCCGGGGTAGCCCATGAGGCCCCGCCCCGCGCCGCGGCCGCTCTCGCGGTGGGCTCGCTGCGCCCCCTGCAGGCTCCGACCCACTCTCCCCGCACTGCTACCACGGGGAGGCGCCCGCGGGAAGAGGCGGGCCGGCTGCGGCTGCGCCCAGCCTGCGGACCAGGAGGTCCCGTCTTCCGTCCCCACCAGCCCCCGAGTTCGCTCCTGCAGGCCGGCCTTGGTTCTGTGCACCCCCGAGGGCGCCGCGTCCACACATCCCCATTACCGTGAGATCCCATCCCCATTGCGCAGATGGGGAAACCGAGGTTCAGAGTCGGAGCCTGATGCATCCACGGCACGAAGAGGAGTCTCTGGGATTCCGAGGCCCACCCTCACCCGTGCTTGTCTCTCTCCGCCTAGGTGTGGCCACAGACTCAATGGCTTGCGGTGCACCCCACGCACCCTCTCCTCTGGTTCTCTCTGGGCCACAGCATCGCCTGGTTTGGCCTTTCAAGAGCTGTGTGGACAGGAGTGCGTGTGGGGTGGGGTTACTCATCCACTTTACAGGAGGGAAATCTGACAACCACAGGGGAGCGCCTTGGGACCTGATAGTTTCACTTGCGTGGTCTATACTAAGGAGACAATTCAGAAACTCAGCAAATTTTGCTGTGTGAGTGCTTCTCCCTAGTTGTTCATAATAGCAAAATTTGTGAATAGTCTAACTCTCTACTGCTTGGTTAAATAAATGGTATTCTACGCAGCTATGAAAAATCATTCTGGGTAAAAAGTTTGCATATATTAAAGATGCCATTCTATTGTTAAGCAAATAAGCAGGTTACAATGCAGAATATATAATAACAAAGTTCCATTTCTGTGAAGATGCATGCGTGGGCACACATTTTTTTAAAACTCTGCAAAGGTATACACCAACAACTTGAATATGAAGATTAAAGGTGATTCTAAAATAAGTATTTGTACCTTTCTGTATTTTCTAAATAATATTATACAGTGAATATGTATGTTTTGTATTTGTTTCGTTTTGTTTTGACAAGGCCTCACTCTTGTCACCCAGGCTGATGAAGTGCAGTGGTGTGATCAAGCTCACTGCAGCCTTGACCTCCCTCACTCAAATGATCCTCCCACCTCAGCCTCCTAAGTAGCTGGGACAGCTAATTTTTGTATTTTTGTAGAAATGAGGTTTTGCCATGTTGCCCAGTTTGGTCTCGAACTCCTGAGTTTAAGCAATCCTCCCATTTTGGGATTAGAAAGGTGGAAGGGATTAAAAGTGCTGGGATTACAGGCGTGAGCCACAATGCCCAGCCAGTTTTTTGGTTTTGTTTTCATTTTTTCCTTACACAGAAAAGCTCCAATATTCACTTACATACTGCAGAAGGAAAAGAGAGGCTGAAATGATTGGATCAAGGAAGTAGGAAAGGGAATTTCTGGGGCATTTCCTTTCCCCCAATCCCAGAATAGCCAGAGAAATCATGGTCATCAAGAGCTGCTGCTTCTGAATAACATGACAGTGACGGTAAATTTTCCAAAAGGTTGATTGTAACAGAGTTTGCAACATGACCAAACTGGTGGATCACAGAGTGGACAGACATCAGGAGCTCTGGAAGAAAAATTGCTACTCGGTATCTACTCAAGTTGTAATGGAGAGAGAAATGGACTGATATGCCGGGATTTTTGTTGCAGAGAGCTGGCAAATTTGCAGTAACTAGCTCCATTCAAACTGACGGAAGCACATAGATGGAGCCCTGAAATCCATAGCTCCATTGAAGAGGCAGCAGAATTTATCTACTCTGACTCAGGTTTGCGGAATTTATCTACTCCGATCCAGGTGCTAGGCCGCTTGTGGTAGGGAGTGAAGCCATCATGCTGATGGATTCGGTGGTGGCAAAGCAGGCTGTCAAGAAGGAGTAGGTCCCCCAGATTCTCCCAGGCAAGGGGACAACACTGGAAACTACATGTTAGGCTTTTCCTTCTGAAACTTGGCAAAGTAGAATTTGCTGAAAAGTAAGTAGTACCGCTTGTTTTTAATTTCGTTTCTCAAGAAAACCCAGCTCTCATCATGACTGTTTACTCTTGTTTCTTTTGGGAAATTAAGTTCTTAATATAACTTTGACTAAAGATATGTAGATTTGTGATATGAAAAGAAAATCTATTTGTTGGATGATGTTCCCAGTGAAGTACTATCCGTTTGTTATTTTAAAAGTTATTCTCTATTGTTCTAAACAGTAAATAGTGCCAAAACTAAGAAAAACATGTATTATAGTTTCAATGTCAGGCTGACTTGCTTGCAGATCTGTTCACAATAAACTGTAATGCCTCTTTAAAGAAAGATTTAGAAATACATTATTAAAAGTATTAATTCATTTAAAAAAATGTTAAGCATGAATGGGGACAAGGTGGGGAGAATGATTTGTCTGCTCTTTCTGGGAGGCCGGGGAGAAACATCCACGAGAAACCTGCAGGCCCTGCCACTGCTGCTGAGAGCCAGTGACCCCAAGGGCTGACCACTTGGGATGTTAGCTGCCCCTAGCCCAGGCACTGTGGTCTGGGTCTGTGGTATAAAGAAGGGCTATTGCCATAAAAGGAGATAGACACAACCAGCTTCAGTCTATCCTGCTTCCTGTCTCAGAATTATTATTATTATTATTATTATTATTTTGAGATGGAGTTTTGCTCATTGCCTAGGCTGGAGTGCAATGGCGCGATTTCGGCTCACTGCAACCTCCACCTCCCAGGTTCAAGCAATTCTCCTGCCTCAACCTCCCAAGTAGCTGGGATTACAGGCACCTGCCACCACGCCCGGCTAATTTTTCTATTTTTAGTAGAGACGGGGTTTCACCATGTTGGCCAGGCTGGTCTCAAACTCCTGACCTCATGATCCGCCCACCTTGGCCTCCCAACAAAATTTTTTTAAAAAGAAAGTATGGTATGTCTTTGGAAATCTGAGATTCAAATCTTAGCACCCTATATCCCCACCACCACTACCATTAACAGTGCAGTTTGGAGCAAGTCACTTAATCTTTTCCAGCCCAGTTCCCATTTGTAGAATGGAAAGAATGACATCCATATAATGTGGTTGCTGAAAGATTCATTATTTTATTATTCAACAATTATTTATTGAGTGCCAGGCATTAATCTAGTCACTAAGACAGACAAGGTCCATGTTCTCATGGAATTCATATTCTAACAGGGTAAGGTCACAACAAATAAATAATAAATGAAAAATATCAGATATTGATAAGTTTTAGACAGAAAATAAAATAGGGAGCTGGGAATGGTGGCTCACACCTGTAATCCCAGCTACCCAGGAGGCTGAGGTAGGAGATTGCTTGAGGCCAGGGGTTCAAGACTAGTGTGGACAACATAGTGAAACCCCCTTCTCTAAAAACAAATTAAAAAAAAAATTAGCCAGTGAAGGTGGCATGCACCTGTAGTCTCAACTACTCAGGAGTCTGAGGAGGGAGGATTGCTTGAGCCCAAGTGTTTGGAGTTTGAGGCTGCAGTGAGCTATGATCATGCCACTGCACTCCAGCCTGGAGTTTATTTTTAGAGATGAGTGAGACCTCATCTCTAAAAATAAACAAATAAATAGGAAGAAGCAATAGAGACCTACAGGCTTATTATATTGATTGGTCAGTATAGCCCTTTTTGAGGAAATTGTATTTGAGCAGAGATATGAATGACATAAAGCGGCCAGGCATGCACAGATCAAGTCACAGAGTATTCCAGATGAAAGTAAGAGCCAGAGCAAAGACTCTTAGGAAGGGTAGGCCGGGCACGGTGGCTTACGCCTGTAATCCCAACACTTTGGGAGGCTGAGGCAGGCAGATCACGAGGTCAGGAGTTCAAGACCAGTCTAGTCAACATAGTGAAACCCCGTCTCTACTGAAAATACAAAAAATTAGCCAGTGTGGTGGTACGCATCTGTAATCTCAGCTACTCAGGAGGCTGAGGCAGGAGAATCGCGTGAACCCAGGAGGCAGAGGGTGCAGTGAGGCAAGATCACGCCATTGCACTCCAGCCTGGGCAACAGTGCGAGACTCCATCTCAAAAAAAAAAAAAAAAGATATCAGGTAGCTTTTATTCAATAATAAACCACTTCAAAATTCAGTGACATAAAAATAATAACCATTTATTTATTATTTTGTGGGTCAGTAATTTGGGCTGTGCTCAGCTGGGCTGTCTTCTGGTCTCAGATGATCTTACTTTTGTGTCAGTGGTCAGCTACTAATCAGCTAGGTGACTTTGCTTCTTAGAGTTGGCTGGCTATCAGCTGGAGTGATGGGAGCAAGCGGGCCATATATCTTTCATCTAGTAGGCTATCCCAGGCTTGTTGATAAGTCTTGTTGATATGTGGCAGTGCAGGGTTGCAAGAGAGAGTGGAAACATGCAAGGCCTCCTCAGGCTTTGACTCAGAACCGGAACAATGTCACTTCTGCCATATTCTACTGGCAAGGCCAGCCCAGATTCAAATGGAGAAAGAGACATCACTCCTTGATGGGAGACTGAGAGACATGGTCACAGAGAAAAGAATTATGATATTTGTAACACACCCTGAGCAAGAATGAAAAATTCCAGCATGTCCAGAGCAATTGTTGGGGAGTGTTATGGGCTGAAGTCCTAATCCCTAGTACCTTGAATGTTACTGTATAGTATTTGAAGATAGGGTCTTTAAAAAGGTAACTAAGGTTAAATGAGGTCAGTAGGGTGGCCTCTAATCCAATATGACAGGTAAGGGAATGGAAAGACAGACAAGAAAATATTTCCAAATCACATGTCTAATAAAGGACTTGCATCTAGAGTACTTTTTTAATTCGGTAATAAGAAAAAATCAATCTAATAAAAATAGGCAAAAGATATGAACAGATACTTGACCAATGAAGATATGAAAAGATGCTCAACATCATTAATCATTAGGAAAATAAAAATTAAGACAATAGATATATCTACATATTTATTATCATGACTAAATTTAAAAGACTTACCATACCAAGTCTTGGCAAGCACATAGAAGAACTAGAACTCTAATAGAATGCTGGTAGGTATATAAAATGGTACAACCACTTTGGAAAACAATTTGGTAGTTTGATAAAAAGTGAAACATACATCTATTACATGATTTGGGTATTCCATTCCTAGATATTTCCCAAGAGAAATTAAAGCCTACAAAAAGACCTGTACACAAATGCTCATAGCAACTTTATTTGTAATAGTCAAAAACTAGACAGAACCCAATGTCTATCAACAAAGGATTAGATAAATAACGCTATATCCATACAGTGGAATACTATTCAGCAACAAAAAGCAATAAACTAGCACAATCTATAGAAGAAAAAATAACACATTTAAAAACTTTTATTCTGTGAAAGACTCCATTAAGAGGATGAAAAGACTGGAAGAAAATATTTGCATACCATGTATCTGGCAAAGGACTTTTATCTAGAATATATGATATATATTCTCAAAATTCAATAACAAAAAACAAACCATTCAATTAGAAAATGAGCAAAAGGCTCAAAGAGAAGGCCAGCAGTAGTAGCTCATGCCTATAATCCCAGCACTTTGGGAGGCTGAGGCAGGCGGATCACTTGAGGTCAGAAGTTTGAGACCAGACTGGCCAACATGATGAAACCCCATTTCTACTTAAAAATATAAAAATTAGCTGGGTGTGGTGGTGCGCACAGGTAGTCCCAGCTACTTGGAAGGCTGAGGCTGGGGAATCACTTGAACCCAGGAGGCAGAGGTTGCAGTGAGCCAAGATCGTGCCACCACACTCCAGCCTGGGCAACAGGGCAAGACTTTGTCTCAAAAAAGAAAAAAAAAAACCTGAAAAGACATTTCACTGAGGAAGATGTATGGATAACAAATAAATACATGAAGAGATGCTCAACACTACTGGCCATTAGGGCAATGCAAACTAAGACCACAAACAGATGTCACTATCCACCCATTAGAACAAAACCTAAATTAGTGACAATATCAAGTGCTGGTGAGGATGTGAAGAAACTGGATCTCTCATATGCTGCCTATGGGGATGCAAAAAAAAAAAAAAAAAAAACTAAACATACGACCCAGCAATTGTATTCCTGGGTGTTTATCTCAGAGATATGAAATATGTGCACCCAATACTCTGTACATGATTGTTTATTGCAGCTTTATTTGCAACTGCCCAAAACTGGAAACAACCAAAATGTCCTTCAATGAGTGAATGACTGAGCTAACTGTGACACTTCCATACTACAGAATATTACTCAGTCAAAAAATAAAAATAAATAACAAAAATGAACTATTGACACAGGCAACAGCGTGGATGCATCTCAAGGGTATTATGCTGTCAAAAGATCACATACTGTATGCTTCCATTTATAACATTCTCAGAATGACAAAATTAGAGTGATGCAAAGCAGATTGGTGGATGCCAGGGTCTAGAAATGGTAGAGGATGGGGATTGGGTGTGACTCTAAAGGGATAGCATGAGGGAGATCTTCGTGGTGATGGAACAGTTCTTGCACCTTGATTGAGTGGTGATTACCCAAATCTCCATATATAATAAAACGGCACAAAACTATACACATACCTTGCAGCAATGCCTGTTTACTGGTTTTGATGCTGCACTATAATTATGTAAGATATATCCATTGAGAGAAACTGGGTGAAGGGTACACAGACCCTACCATTTTGGCAACTTCCTGTGAGTATATAACTGTTTTGAAATTAAAAGTTTTTTAAAGAGCAATTAACAATTGATATTCGCTACAACCTAGATAAATCTCAAAATAATTATGCTGTATGAAAAAAGCCACATCAAAAAGATTATGTACTGTATGATCCCAGTTATATAAAATTCTGCAAAGTATAAACTGAACTATAGTGACAGAAAGCAGATTGCCTAGGTACAGGGAGTGGGGAGATGTACGGGCAGGAAGGAGTAAGAGGGAAGGGTTACAAAGGGCCATGAGGAAACATTTGGGGTGATGGATATGCTTACTATATTACTATATTACCTTGATTGTAGTGATGGTTTTGTCAGAGGCATTCGAACCAGAGAGACTCCATTTTGAGTGAGGGCTAGGAAAATGAGGCTGAGAGTTGCTGGACTGAATTCCCAGAAAGTTAGGCATTCCTAGCCTCTAGATGTTTACTGTTAAGGGAACAAATTATTAATGTTTACTAAAACGGATCCAGACTTGGGAGTGTCCGGATATCTCAATATCTGGGGAACAAAGGCATTCCTAATTTTGCTTTAAAGATAATAATATTGATTCTTGCCAAATATCATAATTAAGAAAATTAATAGTTTATCACAAACCCTTGTAGCAGAGCGCATCTCTCCATATATACAAGCATTGTACCTAGGGTGGATGCGTTCCTCCTCTTAGTTTCGGGAACGTCCTGCTCTGTCTATGGAGTAGCCGTCCTTTCACCACTTTGCTTTCTTAATAAACTAGCTTTCGCTTTGCACTACAGACTCGCTCTGAATCCTTTTTTGCACGAGATCCAAGAACCCTCTCTTGGGGTCTGGATCGGGATCCCTTTCCTGTAACAGTTTCAGGGTGTATACATATGTTAAACTTATTAATTTGCATACTTTAAATATTATGCACTTAATGCATATCAATTTCACTTCAATAAGCATACCAAAGATATTAAGTGCCTAGTAATAAAACTTACTAAAGACGTACAAATCCTCCACAAAAAGTCTAATATGCCATTGGGAGATATTTAGGTAGATCTAAATAAATGAAGGGATCTACCATAGTCCTAGAATGATAAAAATCCTAATTGGGTTTTTTTGGGAGGGAGGGCAACAAGTTGATTCAAAAATGTATATGGGAATTTTATTTTATTTTATTTTAGTTTAGTTTAGTTTAGTTTAGTATATGGGAATTTTAAAAGGCCAAAGATAGCCAAGACAGAAGAGTAAGGCAAAAGAATTTACATTAACAGATATCAAGACAGTGAGATGCTGATAAACAAATAGACCAATGGAACAGATTGAAGATCCCCAAAACAGATCCACAGATACATAGACACGTGGTATTGGACAGAGGTGGGAATGCAGAGTCATTGAGAAATGACCAGTAAAAGGCACTGGGTAAACTGGGTATCTATAAGCATTCTTCTCACAACACACAAAAATCAATTCCAAGGTAGATTAAATACCTAAACATGAAATGTGAAAGCTTATAGCTCTTAGAAGGTTGTACAGGAAAATACCAGCATGATCCTGAGTACAGGAAGATTTTTTAAATAAGTAACAAAAAGCACCAATGATAAGGGGAAAATAGTAATAAAAAAAAGAACAAAATGTTAACTATATAAAAAACTAAGAACTTTAAGGCTGCGCATGGTAGCTCACAATCATAATCCCAGCACTTTGGGAGGCCAAGGCAGGAGGATCTCTCGAGGCCAGGAGTTCAAAACCACCCTGGGCAACATAGAGAGATCCTATCTCTACAAAAATACATAAATAAGAATAATTTTTCATAGAACTCTACTCACTAAAGACATTATAAAGAGAATGAATGGTGACTGGGAGGGAGGCAATATACTTGCAACTAACCAACAAATAGAAACGTCAAAACCACAGTAAGATACCACTACACACCCTACAAAATGACAAAGCTTTAAGAATCTGTTGGAGTGTATGTAGCTGGAGCAACAGAAATTCTCATATGCTGCCAGTGAGAAGATAAACTGGCATACTGCTTTGGAAAGATGTCAAACATTATATAGTAAAGTTGAAGACAGGCATATCATTGACCCAGAAATGTTATTTAGTTTCTACCCTGAAGAAATGGCTATACACATGTAACACAGCATGTACACAGCAACACTGTAATAGTAAAAAACTGGGAAAACTCCAAATGGTCTATTCATAGTACAATAGATAAATTTTAGTATTTTCATTCAGTGGGGTATTATATAGATGCTGAGCAGCCAAAAAATAGAAAAGGCTACCGCATAGTGACCTATGCAGAAATGGCTGTCTTCCTTATAGTAAGAGAGTGACAGACCAGCAAGAAAGACTAAGAAGAAAATTAAATATAGCTCTCAGAACCAACCATAGCAACAGCAGGGAGTGTTTTGAATTCCAACATGTAGCAGACACTGTGCTAGACTGTCTTAAGATAACTCTACCTCCCACAACCATTCTGCAAAGTAGGAATTATTTTGCAGATCAGGAAACTGAAGAACAGAAAAGTTAAGTGACTCACCTGAGGACACACAGATAGCAGGTGACAGAGTGAAGATTTGCGACAAGGAATCAAATCCCACCTTCTTTCCATTGAAGTATGAACTGTTGATTGCTTGCAACAACCATTCACCACCTCTCCCTTCTTCCAGAACCCAATTTTGTTAAGATGTACTGCCTCTTCTGTGCTGTCCTAGGGATGGCAGAGCAAAAGACAGAACAAGCCTGGGTCCCTGAGGACTCTCTGGCAATGCTGCCAGGCCATACCAGTTAGGTGTTTTTGCTACCTTTTATTTATTTTTCCTTTATTTTAGCTTTAGGCCCAGTGGTTGTAGAACTGCTAGAGTTCTTGAATCAAAAAGAAAATGTAGTTAGAAGGCAAACTTCCCATTTCCTTCCAAACCATTGCAAGTAATACCAAAACCCAAACCAGATCACTGTAGCAGATGCTACAAGGTCTACAACAGGACTGCTTTATGCAGCCTGCAGAAGAGAACGCAAGCAGGAAGGCCTGTGAGTGTAAAGGGCTCCAGCAAGCAGCCTGGTAGCAGTGTTCCGGGAAGCCTGAGATGGCTAAGAGAGCACTGTAAGGGTGGAGGCCTATGCTTTATCCTGCCCCCTGATTCATTTCCCTATGAAGCTCATAGGTCCTGGCCAGACAGAAGCCCACACAGTCCTGTGCCTCCTGCCTTTCTAGGCTCAGCGCTTCTTCCTGGTCCAAAGCAGTTAATTCCAAAGTGAAAATTCCAGGCCACTACGTTGTCACATCCTCTCAAGCTACAACCCAGTTCCCAGTCTGTGTAGGAAGTTCTATTACTGTCAAGAAACTCTCATGTTCTTCTTACTGCTTTGCTGTTGACGTTCCTCTCATCTGGCTCCTGTGCCTCAACACCCCGCCTCTCCCCTGCACTGGCCAGAGGCAGTCCATCCTCTGAGCACTTCTAGTCCCCTCCTGACCTCACATGAGTGAGGAGGATGTCTGATTGCCAAGGGCTATGGTTACAGACACAAAGCTTTCTCTTTTCGGGTGCTGGGATCCTTTATTCCATCTCTTTAATTTCTTTGGAGTTTTCTGTAACCTTCAAAATTGTGCTCTGACTCTGGCCTTTGGGTATGGCCTGTGGTGGGCTGTGTCCCTGGCATCAACAAAGGCTTTGACACAGTGTGGCCTTCAAAGAGCAGCCTGGATGAAACCGCAGGGGCCTGGAGCTGCAAGGAAAGTGGGTTAGCCCAGCTTTCACAGGGACTGTTTGGGCCCACTTTAGTTTTTGCTACATGTGGGAACAAATGTGCCCCTTCAGGCCTTTCAGATCATGGGGGTGGGTATTTTTGTTAAAGCCAAAACCTTCAGCTAATTTGGAAGCTGACAGGATTCTGCTAAGTCTTTGTGTTAACACAGTATCTGCTCCCTGGCCTTCCAGGTCAGGATCTTGGGTGGGACACCTGGAGCCTCCATTTGCCTCGGAATTTTCTAGAACAAAATTGCTTTTCGTCTCTCATTTCAAGGTCCTAGGAGAGAGAACCAATAGCAAAGGCCATGTCTGGAAGCCATTTGGGTGGGGGCAGGGGGTGTCTTGAGGTCTGCCCAGCCCAGCCCTTTCCTCTTTGTTCAGCCTAGGCAATGAAGCCACAGCTGCCACTCAGAGCTGTTTTAATTGTCCCCAGAAACCTAACTTCTAGAAAAACAATTGGCTTGCAAAGGATTCCAGACTCTCTGAACAGACAGATGATCAGAATCTTTTCTGATTTTCATTAAGGAAATATTTCAAGAGGGACTGTGGCACCAAGACAGTCAATGCCTGCCCCTGAGCCCCTGATGAGAAGGAATTAAGGGCCCTGTGACTATGTATGTGACCAGAAGCCACATCAGGCTCCACCAGGCCTGGCAACTGTCCCTGATGGTCTGTTCTTCACCTCCTGTGGCTCCTGACTCTTCAGTTCTCAGTTGGAATTGAGGTCAGCCCTCTCGTTTCCTTGTCTGGCCCCTTCACCACCCACAATGCAAACCCATACTGAGGGACCAACCAGCAAGAGGCCCAGAGCAGCCCCCATAGCAACCAGAGGGGGCCAAGCTTGCTGCCACAGCCCACAACATGCCAACACCCCATTTAGACTTTTACATGAGAAATAAACATCCACTTGGTTCAACTGCTATTGTTTCGTCTCTGTGACTAAATCAAAAGTCCTCCTAGAGGACTAGAACTAGATCTACTGTCTGTTCTATGGCCTTCCCACAGTTCAGCTTCCTGTGCTCCCCAAAACTTCACCTTGGAAACATATTTAACTGGTTCTGACCTTCAGCCTTGTGTGACTGTGGGTCCACAGCCAATATCAAATAACTGCAGACACCAGACACTTGGTTAAAATTCTCAATAGAGGAAAATGGTCGCTGGACAGTCAGCAGACTTGCTGTTTTCAGGTCAGCTGCTGGCTCAGTCCCCTCTGGGTGCCAGGGAAACCTGACAGCTGAGGGTTGTGATAAGGAGCAGTTTCTCTAGGAACTGACTGACATGTCTCCCTGAGGAGAGAGAAGTGACAGGCAACTCTAGGGAAGATGGCTTTCATGGCTTCATAAATATCTCACTGGCTCTTTGGCTTCTTCTCCAAGGTAGCCCAGATCTCCTCCTGTGTGAATATCTTTGTGGAAAGGGATGCATTGGTCAGGTAGGCCAGGTAGGATCAACTGAGGGAAGGTAGATGACCAGGATGGAGAAAAGCTGATGAGGCGGGGCTGAGGAGAATGAAGACTAATGCCCACTATCAAAGTTAGGGAAATAAAGTGTCGCTGCCAAGTCCAAACGTCAGGGTCACACTGGAAAACTGGACACAAAGCCAACGTCAGGAGCCAACAGAGCTGGAAAAGTGGAAACAGGCCAGGGAACAAGACTAGGCCGGGCATGATGGCTGCTGAGAATGAGCTGGTACCAAGCCTAGCTTCATTGTCTCTCAACCTAGCCTCATGCACAGAAAAGTCGTATCAACGAAGAGAGAGCTGGGTTTAATGATGTCAGCAAGGGGGGAACAAAAGAAAACAACGTTCCTTAACCCAGGTCCGTAACTCTCGTGTTGTGCACAAGATTGTGTACATTTTCCAAAGTTTGTCAAAGGGAACAGCGCCCCCAAAAGGGTTATTTTAAGGTTTGATTGTGGACTCTGGTTATCCAGAAGAGGACGATCTCTGCCGATCTCTGCGGGCTCTCCTGTCTCGACGAAGTCCTTTAGTGCCTGAGGGTCTGGGCCACCTTCCAAAGGGGCGGAATCCCCCTGCCTCGCGTACCCCAGGGGTCTCTGTAGCGCTGCTGTTCTGTGAGCCTACTCCTCTCAGAAGCGCCGAGCACCAGGCCTGGAAGAGGACGAGTGTAGTAAATGAAGGGACACGGGGCGGACGGAGGGATTAAAAGATGGGGGTGTGATCTGTGCCAATGGGGACACTGACTGGTTCGAATATTAACGCGAGGTTTGTCCGCTTCTTCACAATCTGTCCGTTTCGTTTTACTGGGAAAGCAAATGTGTTCCCATCCCTCTATCTGGGGATACGGTTAGAGTTCCGGGAATGGGGTGCAGCGCCCGGACTGGCACAACCGCCGTTGTCCCACCTCCTCCAGAGCCGCAACACCGCAGTGCCGGGACTCGGACTGAGGCGAGGGCTCCCCACCCGCTACGTCGTGGCACCGCCCGTCGCCCCGCCCCTTGGGGAGCCCGTGGCGCGCCCTTTTGACGTAGTGCTTGTGTCAACATCAGCGCGCGCCGAGCCCGGAAGAGGCGCGGACTAGAAAAGGATTCGGTTCGCGCAGCTGCGGCGCCTCGGTCCCCATGGCGCTGTGGCGCGGCTCCGCGTACGCGGGCTTCCTGGCGCTGGCCGTGGGCTGCGTCTTCCTGCTGGAGCCAGAGCTGCCAGGCTCGGCGCTGCGCTCTCTGTGGAGCTCGCTGTGTCTGGGGCCCGCGCCTGCGTCCCCAGGACCTGTCTCCCCTGAGGGCCGGTTGGCGGCAGCCTGGGACGCGCTTATCGTGCGGCCAGTCCGGCGCTGGCGCCGCGTGGCAGTGGGGTGAGTGCCAGCGGGGCCTGGGTCTCTGAACCTCCGAGGTCCGCCTTGGAGGTCGGGCGGAGCCGGCCAGAAACAGGGCTTCCCAGAGGTCCCCGGGAGGCGCTGCTGTCCGCGCTGGCCCCTTGGCGAGAAGCGTCGGACGTCTGAGTGGAACCCGGTTCGTCACCGCTGCTCTTTCCACTCGGCTGGCCTCTGCACCTTTCTCTGATCCCGGTAGGACCAGCCCTAACAGCTTCTTGCTAATCCCTCTTTGTCTGACACCTTTCTCCGAGCCTTGTTCCTCGTTCCAACTTTTAGCCCCTTCTCTTCTGGCGACTGTTGTTTTGCAGTCAAAGATACTTGACCTTACCCACTTTGACAACACTCGTCTTCCTCTTTCTTCTGAACTTCTTGAAGACGAGTGATTTCTGCCTTTACCCACTTGCTTTCGTAACGCCGTGTAGTCTAGAAACCACACGACTGTACTGCAGCTCCTCTCTTATTTGCCTTTTTGAGTCTTCATTATCTGCTCTCTGCAGCCTTTCATGCATTGAACACGTCCTTCTTCGTGAAACTCTTTTCTTCCCCTGACTTCAGTGACATTGCATATTTAAGGTTCTTCCAAATCACAGTGCCTCCTTTCTTTGTACTTTTCCTTGGGAATGTAATTATTCCCTTTATAGTGTTGATATTGTAAACACTAACTTTAGTCTCTGTCTCAGTTCAATTTGACTTTCTTGCCATGACCTCAGAGTTATGTATAACCACCACATAAAAGCAGGCCCTCTACCATGTAGACTACTACTTTCTGTGGAGTGTTGGGACTGGGAGGGGTAAAGTAGAGCAAACTTGTCCTGAAGATTAAATGACATAATTCATGTAATCTCTCTAGCATGGTGCTTGCTTTAAAAAGCATTCGATATTAGCTATAATTTTTTTTGTTTTTTTTTTTTTTGGACACAGGGTCTCTCTCTCTCTGTCGCCTAGGCTGGAGTGCAGTGGGGCAATCACTGCTCACTGCAGCCTCGACCTCCCAAGCTCAAGAGATCCTTCTGCCTCAGCCTCTGGAGTAGCTGGGACAACAGGCAAGCACCACCACGCCCAACCAATTTTTTATTTATTTATTTTTTTTAGTAGAGTCGAGGTCTTGCTATATTGCCTAGGCTGGTCTCGAACTCCTGAGCTCAAGCGAACCTCCCACCTTGGCCTCCCAAAGTGCTGGGATTAAATTGTCCTTCCTTGCTTTATGTGTGTTCATTCAGCAGATATTCACCAGCTACATGGTTAGTGTCAGGTCTGTTCTAGGTTCTTAAGATACAGAGATGGGTGAAGCAAGGTCCCCGCCTCACTTATTGGAAAAACACATACTATTGTATCAGTCTACTTGGACTGCTAGAACAGAATACCACAAATTAGATGGATTAAACAACAGAAATCTGTTTTATCACGGATCTGGAGGCTGATAGTCCGAGATCAAGGTACTGGCAGGATTGGTTTTTGATGTTGCCTCCCTTCCTAGCTTGCAGCCAGCTGACTTTTCACTGTTAGCCTGCGCATGCACGCTCCTGGTGCCTCTCACTCCTCTTATATGGACACTAGGTCCTTTTGGAACAGGGCTCACCCTTGTGACCTTATTTAACCTTAATTACTTCCTTAAAGGCCCCATGTCCAAATATAGTCACATTGGGAATTAGGGTTTCAGCATATGAATTGGTGGGGGGTGGACAGTTCAGTCTATAACAATTATGGTTAGAAGAGGAACATCCCATGAGGACCAGGCAGACGCCTTAATGCCTTTTACGACCTAATCTTAGAAGCACATAGGAACTCTTCTACCAGAGTCACAGGTCCACCTGGTTTTAAGGGAGGGGACATAGAACAAACCTTGATGGAAGGAGCATCCGTGTCACGTTGTGAAAAGAACATGTGGAATGGGACATCTTACTGCGACCATCTTGGAAAATATATTTTACTACGGTGACTTTCATAGGACAGACACTAAAGAAGAAATGAGATTTCTCCAAGCCAAAGTGGGAACAGTTCCACCTAGGCAAGAGAACCAAATGTGAAAAAGTACATGGTTGGTTTGGGAACAGGTCAACCTTGTTTTCGAGCAAGAATCTTATGGTAGAGGGTTGTAAAGAGATGATGCTGAGAACGAAGGGTTGGACCAGATTGTGAAGGGCTTTTTATGGGGAAGCCATAAAGGCTTATAAGCAGTTAACTGATGACAAGTTCTTTGTTGAGAATTGGTGGGAATGTGAAGGGTGGATTTTGAGCAGTGGTTCTAACCTGTTTCACTGCTTCTCATCATTTATTTCCCAAAGAGGATTTTTTTTTTTTTTTTTTTTTTGAGATGGAGTCTGGCTGTGTCGCCCAGGCTGGAGTGCAGTGGCGCGATCTCGGCTCACTACAAGCTCTGCCTCCCGGGTTCACGCCATTCTCCTGCCTCAGCCTCCCGAGTAGCTGGGACTGCAGGTGCCCGCCACCATGCCCAGCTGATTTTTTGTATTTTTAGTAGAGACGGGGTTTCACCGTGTTAGCCAGGATGGTCTCGATCTCCTGACCTCGTGATCTGCCCGCCTCGGCCTCCCAAAGTGCTGGGATTACAGGTGTGAGCCACTGCGGCCGGCCCCAAAGAGGATTTTTAGCCCAAAGATAGGGGGATTTAGGAGGGACGAGGGGAAGCAGGTGCAGTACTTGTATTCTTGTATCAGAATCGCATTTTGAGGTTGTAGTTTGACTTCTCTAGAGACGTATTCACACTCTCACACAGACGCACTCAAAATGCAATTTAATGTGATTCATAAGGAGGAATATCTTGAGACTCTGACACTGGTATAAGAGGCCGTTGTAGGGTTTGTGTAAAGGGAGAAAGGAGCCTGAACCAGACTTGGCAATGATGTAGAAGAGGTGAGATTTGAGAGATAACCTGAATAATAGGTTGGATGTGGTGGAGTAAAGAAAGGCAGTCAAAAACGACAGGTTTTTAGTATTGGATATCTTGTTTAGTTTTTGTTTTCTGTTTGAGACAGCATCTCGCTCTGTCACCCAGGCTGGAGTGTGCAGTTTCATGATCAAGCTCACTATGGCCTTGACCTGTCATGCTCAGTGTCCCAAGTAGCTGGAACTACAGGCATGTACCACCACGCGCGGCTAATTTTTATATTTTTGGTAGGGACAGGATTTGCCAAGTTGCTCAGGCTGGTCTTGAACTACTGAGTTCAGGCCTTGCCTCCCATCTTGGCCTCTGAAAGTGCTGGAATTACAGCTGTAAACCACCTCACCCAGCCCAGTATTAAATATAACAACTAATATGATTAGGCTTTGTGTCCCCACCCAAATCTCATCTTGAATTGTAATCCCCATAAGCTAATAAAGGAGAGACCAGGTGGAGGTAATTGAATCACGGGGGCCGTTCCCCCGATCTGTTCTGATACTGAGTGAGTTCTCGTGAGATCCTTTGGTTTTATAAGGGGCTCTTCCCTGCTATTCGCTCGGCACATCTCCTTCCTGACACCTGAAGAATAGGGTGCCTTGTTTCCCCTTCCCCTTCTACCATGAGTAAGCTTCCTGAGGCCTCCCCAGCCATGCTGAACTGTGAGTCAATTAAACCTCTGGCCTTTATACATTACTCAGTCCCGGGCAATCATTATACCATTATGAAAATTGACCAGTGCAACAACTTTATGAGGCAGGCAGATAACAGACATTATCACCAAGTCTTCACACATTGATTTATTTGCCCAAGATCTTGCAGCTATCAAGTGCCAGAGGAGCAATTGAAGCCTGGTCTTTCCCATTTCTGGTTCCTGGTTGATGCCATGTTATTGCCATTAAGAGAGGATTTAAGAAAAACAAGTTTAAAAAGATAAATTGGATTTCAGAGGAGAAATATACATACATTGTTATGGGATTTCAGATGAAGCTTCTCTGTCAGCTACTGAAAATGAGAAGCTGGTTTTTAGGAATATATTGAGAAACAGGATTGCAAATTTTGGAGACACTGGTACTTAGGTTGAAGCCAGAGACTGTATAGGATCACCCAGGAAGAGAAGAGAAGGTAAAAATGGTAAAGGTGGAATTCTGGGAGGCACTTAAGGGGCTGGTGGAAAGGGGTCAAAGAAGTAAAGGATAGGAGTTTTAAGGTGTTTAAGGTGTTTCTAGGAAACTTCCCCTGCTTCTAAATCAGACTCTGGTACCTGTTGTTCATTGGTTTAAAAATGATGAAACCCAGCGGGCACGGTGGCTCACGCCTGTAATCCCAGCACTTTGGGAGGCTGAGGTGGGCGGATCACCTGAGGTCAGGAGTTCGAGACCAGCCTGACCAACATGGAGAAACCCCCATCTCTACTAAAAATACAAAATTAGCTGGGCGTGATGGTGCATGCCTGTGATCCCAGCTACTCGGGAGGCTGAGGCAGGACAATCGCTTGAACCTGGGAGATGGAGGCTGTGGTGAGCCGAGATCGTGTCATGGCACTCCATCCAGCCTGGGCAACAAGAGTGAAACTCCATCTCAAACAACAAAACACCCTTATGCTAATATTTATTGCCTCTGGAACTGGCTTCACCCCTACCCTTGAAACATATCTTGGTCTTCTCCCCTGTATGAATTCTCCATTGTAGCTAGATCATTCTTTATTGTATCCAAACACAAGGTTAATCCC